ATAGTTTTCAAATTTACAGATTTTTCTCTACTTTATAGAGCTCTCTGGCAACTACTATTATTATTACGATATACAAAACTGTATTTCTAGATTTTTCTACAGTGTGCGGAGCTAGAAATCCGTTAAGGTAACATTTTGTAACAAATATAAATCTGTCCGAGGATTTTTTTAAAATTACTAAATTGAAAACGGTAACTCCCGAATAAAATCTTAGTCTCGAGGTTGTAAAAGGCGTGCAGAAATTCTGACATCATTTTTTGCTTTATAGTGGTACGCATATGGTTTGTATACTGAATGGCGGATTAAGCGGTAAGCGGACTATACGGGAGCGTAGGGCCCCGAAGAGGCTCCCGCAGTCTTTAAAATGCTACTGAAAAAAGGGATTGCGAAAACGCAGAAGATAGAAATAGTCCAGAAAAACGCTTCGATACATATAGATACATGGAAGTAATAAATGATATAGCTTTATGGCCAACAATATTAACAGATGCTATTATTGATCATATTCTTAAAACAAACCAAAAAGTATAGAAAAGGGTTTTCTTAATAAACGAAAAAAAAAAAAAAGAAGTTAAGATAATGGAAATAGATAAAACGCCAGATGAAGGAAGTAACTTGACACCCGAAAAATTATTTAAAATACAAATTTACAGTGTTCTTGACACTCTATTGTGTCAAATAGATCGGCGTTATGAAAAAATGAAATCTATCTGTGACGATTTCTGCTTTCTCTGTGACTCGTCTTTACAATACATGAGTGTTGCTGATTTTTTGAAAAATTGGCTGCAGATCTCGCTATTAAATATAGCAAAGATTTAAAAAAGTAACTTCACAAGTGAATTTGAAAATTTTAATTTTGAAGTAACGACTTCTTACCCAAATATCAATGTCGCTCTTCGAATATTTCGAACTCTTCCCGTTTCTATTGCTTCGTGCGAGAGAAGTTTTAGCAAGTTAAACTTAATAAAAAATTATTTAAGATCAACTATCGGACAAGAACGATTATTCAATAGTTNTACCTGGACTTTTATATATAAAAATTCAGAATTGGATATTTAACATTTATGAGGAATTCTAAAAATATCATTTCCTTCAGCGTATACTTTATTATTTAATTTTTAATTGTAGTAAATGAATGTAGTAATTTTTAATTGTAGTAAATTGTAGTAAATGAATGAGGGCTACAGTTTCTAATTCTATTAATAAATACAACAGAACTACAAGAATTTGTTACTTATGCTTAAACACCATTTTTAATTTGACAAAAATATAAAAAATAAAATATTAAGAAATTACATTAATAATTTAGATCAGCGATCTCCATAATATGGCCCACAATGAGTAATTATCTGGTCCACATTGCTTCTAGACATTAAAAAAATATATTTTATTTGCATTAAATGTTTCAAACTGAAGCCAAGGAAAGTAAGCAATAAGGCCATATTTACATAAAAACTGAGATCCCATTTTCTAGAAAAATCAAAAATAAATTATAAAGTTATAAATATTGTTCATTTTGGAAAGTATAGATCAGAAATGTGTATTATTTGTGTTCATTGTATTTTTTTAACTTTTAATAAAGTTCTATGAATATTATTCTTCTAATTTACATACTGTATATATTTGTGTATGATAATGATATAATGTGCAATGTTATCTGGCTCACTGATGTTATCAGAATTAGAAATGTAGCCCTCATTTTAAAAAGTTTGGAGAACACTGATGTAGATGATAAGATTAATTAAATTATTACAGGATATAATAGGTAAATTTATGTGGAGAAATGATTTTTAACATATTTAAAAAATTCTTTTTATTCCTTTTCTTAAACCACACTAATAATTAATACTATACTAAAGTGAATTTTTTCAAAAACAATAGAAATCATGCAGCAATTGTTTTGCTGAAGTACTTTATTTCTCTATGGTGCTACCCTTTACAAAATGCATTTCAAACTCTCTAAGTTATTCATCTAAAGAATGATACTATAGAGAAATAAAATAGAAATCACAGAGCAAAACAATTGTAATGTGGTTTCTGTTCTTTTTGGAAGAAATTGATTTTAGTATAAAACATTCTTGCTATGAATAATTTCTAAACTTTTAGAATAATAAATATAATAAATATAGATTGAAATTTAACAATTTCAATTGTTTATCTATAGATATTCACAAATCTTCTATTTCAAAAGCAACAAAAAATATCATTAGTCATAGCAGTAACTCCCTGAGAAATAAAAAAGTCACTAACTGACTACATATACAAAAATCAGAGTTGCCAATTTTTGGGATCGATTCTTTGCCACCCAAACACCTGAAAAAATTCCAAATATCTTGTTCAAACGAAAATTGTTTTCTTAGATAGTGTGTAAAATTTGATGATTTTCTATAAAATTAATGACAAAATAAAAGCAACTGAAAAGTGCAAAAATTGACAAAAAAGCTGTATTTTCTTCATCATCTGGCACTGCAGACCTCTCACAGAAAAAACTACTTGGTCTAGAAAGCTCAAATTTTAAACTTAAACCTCTCTCATTATCAGTGAAATGCTCACAAAACTTCCAGGTCAACAGGTCAAAGTTCACAGGAGTTGCCCATAGAGTTAATTCAGTTTTATGGCTTAATTTTTTGCTTATAAAGATAAAACCGCATCAAAACAAATGAATTTTATTCAAAATGTTACTCAGAATAACAAAAGCTAACATTTATGCCAATTAAAACTTTTTATAACAAGTTTTCTAAACAGTGTATCAAAAGTGTTGATCATCAACACGATCAGTGATAACTGAAATGAATATTGAAAGCTTTTGGTTGTCAGTGGAGTATTGGTCAGCCACGAGTGCCGAATGAATTGTACCGTACATCATCATCTTATGTTTTCACGTAATAACACAATTATTAAGCAAAAACTATTGATATTGATATTGAGCAAAAACATCTGAGAGATGTAAAAAATTTTGTTAAGTAAAAACTTTCAACAATTTAGAGGACAGAGTCAAAATTTTTCTTAAAAGTTTTTCCTTGGTAAAGATAAGCCTGGCACTTGAAAGTGAAAATAATAATACAAGTAAAAACCTTGTGGGTATCTGTATTATTCTTTTCACTTCCAAGTGCCAAGATTATCTTTACCAAGGGAAAACTCCTAAGAAAAATTTTGACTCTATCCTCTAAATTGTCGAAAGTTTTTACTTAACAAAATTTTTTACATCTCAGCTGTTTTTGTTTGGTACACAATGTTACCAAAATATAACAGTTTTACTATAGTATAAATGCAGCTTTGAATGAGACTATCAGGACCTGAGATCTAAAACTTGGGGGTCAAAATCACTCATTCAAAACTGCAATTTTAGCTTTACTATTATTATATTAATATTTTATTTTATTTGTAATATCATTTACATATTTTTTTAACTTTATTTCTCATTCTATCAAAACTTCCAATAGGAAACTTTAATAAAATGAAAAATAATCGAACAAAAAGTTATTTTGCATTTTTTTACATTCAAATAACAAAAATAACATTACAAATGTAATATCGATGATATAAAAAATATATTAAAAATTTAATATTTTTTAATTAAATTGATTTTTACCATTATCAATATAATATTCTGTTTCATTAAAGGAATCATCAGTTAATCCTGAAAGAGCTTCTATTCTCTTTTCCATCTGTAACTATTATAATAAGTACTGTATTAAATTTTATTAAATGATCATTACTTTAATAAAATCATTTTATATTTCAGTGTGAACAATTTAAAACATTCAGAATAATGCAAGCAATAGTTCATTTTAATTGAATAAAACTTAATTATAAATTAATAATTCTGTATTACTGTTGGGATTTACTACACGAATTTTTTAATTTACAAGCAAAAATATTTTAATCGTATTCACTATTACTAACAAAATAAATTCTTTTTTATTTACCAAATATTTTTCGTGTAAGGAATTGAAATTCCTAATTGGCTGTAAGCAATTTCTATATTTTACATATTTAGTCCAGAATGAGAAATACTTGGAAAACATTTTAAAATATATCTTATTATTATGTTTCTCTTCCACGTTATTTTCTTTCTTCGCGACACATAACTGACAGATTAAAAAACAACTTTCCCGATAAATCAAACTAGAGAAAATCGGCGTGTTTGTCACGTGATGTAAACTCACCGAATATCGAATAAGTGTTGCCAGACAGTTTAATATACAGTAATTTTTTAGTTTTTTTTTCAAGCGTTTCAGCTGCTTCCACTTCGACCATACTGTATTGACAACCTATCGAAAAATATTTGTTTATATTTCCCTTCATTGATCTAGAGCGCCAGCTAATTATTCATTTTATTATTTTTTCTTCATTTACTATGTACTGTACACACTCGTTTTACTTTATTATTCGTTTGGAAGAACATTTTTCTTCTGATTTATGTTACATTGTTTTCATATATTTTACTTTGTATTCCATAAACTCTTGTGTCTCTCTTAATCGATGCGAGTTGTGATTACCAGGGCCCTTTCGGCCGCCAATTTAAAGCGTTTTAATCTTTAAATTTGCCGTTTCCACTTCCTGGGAAGAGGACCCAGAGGTTGGATTTGTGGGAAGCGATGTTCGGGTTGTTTCATTGTGTCGAATTACACAGAACGAGGCGCCTTACGTGTAAGTGCGTGAGTGCGAAAATTCGAGTAAAGGTTAAACGGTGATATCTTCGTATACAGTGATGTGTCCGTGTGTGTATGTGGGTGTGTGATCAAAGAACATCTTTCGGCATGTCTAAAGTTTTAATTGGAATAAATTTGAGCTTTTGTAATTCTGACTAAAGTTTCGAATAAAATTCATTTGTTTCCATGCAATTTTCTTCTTATAAGCATAAAATGAAGCTGTAAAACTGATTAGTTCTATGGGAAACCCCGTGAACTTTGACCTATCGACTCGTGGCCGGATGGCCGAGCGGTCAAGGTGGCAGCCTACCGCTCTGGGGGACCCGGGTTCGAATCGGAACGGGTCGAAAAATCCCTAGGAATTTTTCGGGGGTGGTCCGTTCGGATATGTCGGGTCCCGTCCCTCACCACCCGGCAGCCCCATTGTGGGCCTGGCCGAACCCATAATGGGCTTGCAAAAAGAGACCCTCTTAGTGTCCACAGGGCGGAAAGAGTTAAAAAAAAAAAAGACCTATCGACCCGAAAGTTTGGCCAGTACCTCATTGCTAACGAAAAAGGCTTAAGTTTAAAATTTGAGCTTTCTAGACCCAGTAGTTTTTTCTCTACAAGTGTCTGCAGTGTCGGATGAAGAAAAATGAGAAGAAAATATAGCTTTTTTGCAGATTTTTGCACTTTTCGATTGCTTATATTTCGGCAATCGCATTATACAAATTCTTGAAATTTTGCAGACTACCTAAGAAAACAATTTCCTTCGAACGACACGAGATATTCGAAATTACTATAGGTGTTTGGGGGAGCGGAGAAATCGACCATCGAAAATCGGCAACTCTGATTCCTGTATATGTAGATAATCAGTGACGTTTTTTCTTGCCCGATAGTCACTGTGATCTAAGACACTAGATTATTGGATCAAATTTCATCTGTTGATATTAAATTCAAAACGTCCTCAATACTTAAATTCCTAAAACGCGTCGTGAACAAAATGGTGTACATCGAATATCAATTTCTCAACGAAATCATATATTATGTCAGACATATGGTACATTGCCGACCAACAAAAAACAATTTATGTGCAAGTGTCTAATGTACAATAAAAAACTGTTTATATAAAAGTTTCGCTACTTGTTATACTTTCAAGACCTAGTATAACAAAATGACGGCCGGATTTTTGAGCGGTTAAAACTTCGATCTACCGCTCCGACACCGATTCAAACTGTTGAAGAATCCAGGGAGGTCTGATCCATACAGTTTGGCTGCCCACATCGTAATTCTAGAAAAACCAAAAATGTGTAAGATTAAGACAGTTCTCCACAAACAAAACAAAAAACCACCAGCTGCCATGTTGCAAGTATAATGAAATATGCGATAAGCACGAAAATCTTTCATGATCTTAGGTAAGAGTTAGAAATACTAAAATACGAACGAGATTTCTGTGCAGATAATTTCTTACTACAATAAATTTAACAAAAAAATTCATCACAAAAAGATTATTGATGCTGATGTCTGAAATTCTATTTAATCCATGCAAGATATGTGATTACCAGAGCCCCTTCGGCCGCCAATTTAAAGTCTTTTAATCTTTAAAATTGGCGTTTCCACTTCTCGGGACGAGGACCCAGGGGTTGGATTTGTGGGAAGCGAGTGTTCGGGTTGTTTCATTGTGTGGAATTACACAGAACAAAGTGTAAGTGCGTGAGTGCGAGAATTCGAGTAAAAGTTAAGCGGTGTATATCTTCGTGTACAGTGATGTTATGTTTGTGCGTGTGTTTGTATGTGTGTGATCGAAGAACATCTTCGGCATGTCTATAAACAGAAAAACAGTCAATTACGATACGAGAATAAGACGTGTTAAAAGATGAAACGAAAGAGTTCTTACCATCGGAGATTTCGGAAAATATTCACTTGCACGATAAATGGTCCCTCACCACCCAGCAGCCCCATTGTGGGCCTGGCCGAACCCATAATGGGCTTGCGAAAAGAGGCCCCCTTAGTGCCCACAGGGCGGAAAGTAAAAACAACAACAAAAAAAAACACACAAAAGGACGACATATCGACATTTATTTATTGTATTTACAATAATTTACACGTTTTATGATCAACAGCAATAAATCTTTGTTTCGTTTACTCATTCAACTTGAAATTGTGACTTTTCGAATTGTATCTAATAGATTCAGTATCTTATTTTACGAAAGTTATTGCAGACATTTTGTAAATTTATATTTTTAATATAATTTTGTCCACTAACCACAGACAGCCTCGAATTCTTAGTTTTTTACACTTGGCTCTTTTGCAATATTGAAGCTTATTAGCTCTCCAAGTTTTGTTAGTGAGAAAACGGAACAATCTTTGCCTGTTTTCCGATTGCTGACGAAATTTTACAATTCGTTACCTAACACCAATAGCGTTGCGAGGGGAAAGCAATGGGATCTATCATGCTCCGGGCGCCACTCGCAGAGGGGCGCCAAATGGTCTCCAAGACAAATATGAGTTCTTTCTGGAGGGGCGGGGGCGCCAATAAGGTGTCGTGCCCTGGCGCCAGTTATGTTCGCTATACCACTACCACTAAGAACATAACTGGCAAGAACACCAAATTATTTAACAAGAAATTCAGATAATTGAGATCGAAAAAAACAGAGCCAAATTCGCTCTACAAACACCGTATACACTACCATAATGGAACCAATATGGCGACGGCCGCAATATATCATGATGTCGTGTTCAGGTATTGTGTTTATAGACCTTGTTCCAGGCAACATTGGGGACGTTATCTGTTCTGATATTTTATCGAAAAGAAATTTTTATATTTTTAATTATTATAAAATTGCAAAATGCTTAATTTCGAGGGTAGGGATGACTTTTATAAAAAATTTTAAATGCTAATAATGAGTAAAATTGTCAATAACTTAGACCTTACTCGAGATATAACACATGATTCCTTTTATCTTCCCACCTCGTCGTGGTTTTAACCACTAAAATTTAATAGCATCAATTCCCCTAATACACAAACCTCCCGCAAAATTTCAGAAAATTTCGACAAAAGCACAGGCATTTTTAAGCCTCAAAGAGGGTAAACAAAATCGTGTTCCCCCCACATACACAAAAACCTTCGAAAAAATTTGCATTTCTCAACCTTTCAAGCAGTGCTGTAACTAGAGCGATACCCAGACACAGGGCGCAGACCCTGGGAGCGCAGAAATGACCTGGACCATGTTTTGGGTCATATTTTTGGGGCGTAGTTACAGAAGCTCGCACCGGGCACATAAAAGGCTAGTTACGGCGCTGCTTTCAAGGCCTCCTAAGTCCAAAAATGTAAAAATGTTGGGGTCATTTATTGATCGACCGCCATACTTTCTCTCTGCTATATATAACAGCCGGAAAAGTAAAAATTATGTGAGAATTTTTTTTTTAACTCTTTCCGCTTTGTGTGCACTAAGAGGGTCTACTTTGCGAGCTTATTATGGGTTCGGCCAGGCCTATAATGGGCGACCGGGGTGATGATGGACGAGGCCTGACATATCCGAACGGACCATTCTCCGAAAAATTCCTGGGAATTTTTCGATCTGTCCGGATTCGATTCCGGGTTCCCCAGAGTGGTAGGCTGCCACGGCCATCCGATCTCTGGTAGACTGTTAGTTGATAATGATCCGGTCGGGCTTGAACTATTAGGCTATGTAGCCCCGGCATAAGTAATTATGGTAGTTATGTCTTATCTTGTATTAGTTAGTTGGGCATGAACTTCTAGGCCATATCGCCCAGTGGTAAAGTGTGACGTAATTGTCATGTAATAGTAGTTGTATGCGTCGTTACACGGTGATGTATGATGGTCGTTACGAGGGGAATAATGCCTTCCGGGAGGTCTTTTCATGGTAACTGATCCCTATTCTGGTGGTAAAGACATGGCGAAAACCCGGAAAACTCCACTTGGCCATCCCGTCCGGACGAGACGCGAACCCACGACCGAATTCCCTGTATTCAGGGAACGGAACCACTTGGCCACTGGTGGGCCTATGGGTAGTCTTTTCCGGATTGTGTTGAGCGCCATCTTTCACTACCCAGTCGGCCCTTTGACAGCCGGATGGTCGAGTGGTTATGGCTACAACCAGAGCTGTAACTAGGCAGGTGCAACAGGTGCACCCGCACAGGGCCCACTTGGAAGGGGGGCCCAAACTGCTGTTCACAAGAAATTATATTTTTAAATTTTAAATTTTTCCGCCTTTCTACAGCGCAGTTTGGAGATTACATTTCGCCTTACTTCGACCCTAGATGTCTGCTCACCAGTCTTCCCAACTGTGGTGACTTTTAGAGGGACGTAGTGAGGTAGCAGAGACCTCAGACAAATCAGCCAAAAGTAGCGACTTTTGATATTTTTTAATTTATTTTTTGAGAAATTTAAATTTATGTTTATAGTTTTCAAATTTACAGATTTTTCTCTACTTTATAGAGCTCTCTGGCAACTACTAATATTATTACGATATACAAAACTGTATTTCTAGATTTTTCTACAGTGTGCAGAGCTAGAAATCTGTAAAGGTAACATTTTGTAACAAAAATAAATCTGCCCGAGGATTTTTTTAAAATTACTAAATTGAAAACGGTAACTCCCGAATAAAATCTTAGTCTCGAGGTTGTAAAAGGCGTGCAGAAATTCTGACATCATTTTTTGCTTTATAGTGGTACGCATATGTGGTGTATACCTGAACGGCGGATTAAGCGGTAAGCGAACTATGCGGGCGCGTAGGGCCCCGAAGGGGCTCCCGCAGTCTTTAAAATGCTACTGAAAAAAGGGATTGCGAAAACGCAGAAGATAGAAATAGTCCAGAAAAACGCTTCGATATATATAGATACATGGAAGTAATAAATGATATAGCTTTATGGCCAACAATATTAACAGATGCTATTATTGATCATATTCTTAAAACAAACCAAAAAGTATAGAAAAGGGATTTCTTAATAAACGAAAAAAAAAAGTTAAGATAATGGAAATAGATAAAACACCAGATGAAGGAAGTAACTTGACACCCGAAAAATTATTTAAAATACAAATTTACAGTGTTCTTGACACTCTATTGTGTCAAATAGATTGGCGTTATGAAAAAATGAAAACTATCTGTGACGATTTTTGCTTTCGCTGTGGCTCGTCTTTACAATACACGATTGTTGCTGATTTAAAAAAATCGGCTGCAGATCTCGCTATTAAATATAGCAAAGATTTAAAAAAGTACGAATTCACAAGTGAAATTGAAAGCTTTAAGTTTGAAATAACGACTCTTATACAAAATATAGAAACTGCATCTCTGCTTAATATTCTACAGGCTCTTCATGATTTTGGTTTAATTGAGTCTTACCCAAATATCAATGTCGCTCTTCGAATATTTCTAACTCTTCCCGTTTCTATTGCTTCGTGCGAGAGAAGTTTTAGCAAGTTAAACTTAATAAAAAATTATTTAAGATCAACTATCGGACAAGAACGATTATTCAATATTTCTATTATTTCAATAGAATACAATATCATTAAAAATATTAATTATGATGGTGTAATTAATGAATTTGCTGAAATGAAAGCCAGAAAAATTGAATTAAAAAAAATCTTATTAAAAATCTATTGTAATGTATTTGTTTTATTATTTTCCCAAACCAAATAAATTAAGGGGCCTGAATGCAAATTCTTGCACAGGGCACAGGAATTGCTAGTTACGGCTCTGGTTACAACCTACCGCTTTTGAGGACCAAGATCGAAAAACCCCAAGAAATTTTTTATGGCCGGTCCGTCCGGATATGTCGGACCCCGTTTCTCACCACTCGGTCGTCCCATCGTGAACCTAGCTAAAAAGGGCCTTCTTTGTGCCTAAAGGGCTGAAAGAGTTAAAAAGAAAAAAATAATGTATAATAATTAATACATATTAGTATTAATTATTATACATTATACTAATATATATTAAAACAATACATTAAATAATTAATATAATGATAAAATTTATATCTAATTTTATATTATATATAGTTATTTATTTCGGTTTTTGGTAAATAAAATGAATAAATAAACTATCACGTGACTTGCTGTAACCAATTAACTTTCTAAGAATTTTAGTACATGCGCACACCAAAGAAATTATATTTTCTCTTTTACTGAACGAAGAAGCATGGACGCGGAAGATGTCGTGATAATAAAATTATAAAGCCATGGCTGGGGGAATCACGGTAAGTGTTTACACCAAAATGATTACATTTCAATTAAAAATAAACGAATTTAACAATCTAATCAATAATTGGTAAATTTTAAAGCTTAATTCGTGATAAACATTACACATATGTTGGAAGTTACTAAGCCTAATTAATTATAAAATTAATTTCACTAAATTCGTCAGGATGATAAATCGCGTGCTTTGATTTGTTTAAATAAATAAATTGAAACAAATCTATAAAATTGTAATTTTGTTGCTTTTTCTCGATTCGTTTCCATTTTAATTGGAAGTTTGTGTCACATTACGTCTTTTGATTAAAATCTGCATCACACACAAATCATCATCAAAAAATATGTCTGATTAAACAATAGTTATCTCGTGTTTTAAAATTTGGTTATTGTTTTCTAAGTATGATTTATATTAAAATCTAACTTCGGTTTTTACAGATGAACAAAGTAAATATGTAGGTTAATTCAGATTTTTTAAGGTGATTCATTTGAGTTCATTTCTTTTGAACAAATAAAAAAAATGTTTTTATTTGCTGAAAATTTTATTAATAAAATACTAGGTTATATTGTTCTGAGTTGAAAAAAAAAAGATAATTATATTTTAGCAGCATTAAAACGGTTAATAATTTAACAAAAAGAGTAAAAGTATCATGTTTTTTATAAAAGTCTTTTCGGTAGGAGTTATGTGCGACTATGCAGATGCCAGCAAACGAGAAGAGATGATGACGTTTTGCACTCGTTTATTACGACTACACGGATGAGAGCGCGAAACATCATAACATCTGAGAACATCCATGTAGTCGTAATAACATCATAACATCTCGCTCGCTCGTGTCTGCATAGTCGCACCCTTACCTTTAGCGCCTTATATGTGAAAGTGTGTATATAAATGATTGGCTTAAAAGTAATTTAGGTTATTGTGGTTTAATGTAATAAATTAACAAGATAAAATTTTCTGTTGAGAAATTCAATGATTGTTTTATGTGTATAATATTTTTCTGCTCATCAGTTTTTTGTGAGGAATATTTAATAATGTGTTCTTATGTTCAATGAAGTAATTATTGAAATTCTTGTTTCATTCTAACAAATAACACTCAGAATTTTATTTTTTGACAAAGTTTCTATAAAATGCAAAAAAGTAGAATCAGTATAATTAATAATAATGAAAAAATAAGTATAAACCGTTTCATAAATAGATATCCTTTTTTGATAGTTTTTACAACTTGAGCAAAAATATATTTGGAAGACATGACAGATATTTCAAACTTGAATTGCTGATATGTAATGTTAATTAATAATAATATTATTTATGGTATACAATATGTTTTCATTCAATAGACAATGTTAATTTGTAAGTATAATCTTTTCAAAATATTTACTTCTTTGATATGAATGTGTTGAGTTACTTTTCATTGTACATAATTGTCATATAATTAGGTTGTGAATATTTTTGTTTTTTACTCTTTCTTTCCTGTGTGCAATAAAAAGGCTTTTTAATCATACTTTAAACAATGGGGTAACCAGTAATTTTTATGGATGCTCTGACATTGGAGACAGACTATTTCATCTGGATTCGATTCCAGTCCACACAGTAACATGCTGATGCTTTTGACTATCTAGTTATTATTCTGAAAATATCATATGGAGTACTTTTTTGTATATTTTAAGTGTTAAACCTAGAAAATGAACAGTTACTCATTGTGACATTCTCACAATGCTGGGCTGCAATTTTTAATCATATTTTAATTTAAAAATCAGCTTTCCGTATCTGGTCTTGATTTTCATCCCTCTAACCATTCTCAGTATTAACAAAGGACAGATGGGCAACAATGGAAATATAGTAGAGCATTGATTATATGAAACAATTCGGAACTGGGGTTGTTCGGATAATCGATTTTTTGGATAACCAATTATGTATGAAAAAATATATTAACCTATCCCATGTTGAAATTCATTGAAATCCTGGCATGTCCTTAAGTACCCTCTTATGGTTGCACCAGTGCTGCCAGCTAAAACACGCACACTAACAAAAATAATATTGGAGTAGCCCAAGACATAGCCAAAGATTGCAGTACCACAGCACTAGCAGAAATTTAAATTTGCTGACTGGAACGCTTTTGGTTAACCAATGTCTCGGATGATTGATATTCGGATAATCGATGCCCTACTGTATATAGATCTGCAGTTGGAAAATTGCAGCCAAATAAATATTGATTCCTTAAAGGTTGTTAGTTTTCACATCTAAATTATATAATACAGTGAAATCTCTATTAACAGACACTCCTGAATAGTGGACACCTCTACTTAATTAACAAACATTTTTACAATCACCAAGTCCTTCAAAAGGACATGTATAATATTTACCTCTAAATAATTGACACCATTGTCTACAACCTACCTTATGAAAACACAAAGTCCTTCCTTCAATATTCTGAAAGAATTAATTACTTATGAAATATTTTAAAACTAATACAAAGAATTAGTTCAAATACTCTTTCAGAGGATGAATTTTGACCATAGACATTCAATAAAGACTGACTTAAAATAGGAATGGGGAGGAGGGCAGGTTATAAAAACTGAACAATATTCTTTATCTGTTAGAGAAGACTAATCTGGTTAACTTGTCACCCTTTATCATCATACATATTAATGTTGTTAAACTTCTGTTTTATTGTTGGAATTAAGCTTATGATATTAAGAAACCATAAACTTTTCTGAATTATTCCCTGATTTGACAAGAACCATAGTATAGTAGTAATGAAAAAAAAAACAGTTTTAAGACAACAGTGTTTATTTGGTAAAAATTCAAACATAGTGTTACGAAGATGATTTGCCAACCACTTTAATGTGTAGGAAGACATTTGGTTTTCTCACATTTATGATCTTAATAGCTTTATGGTGGCTAAAGTGTAATTTATAATAAATCAGTTATTGAATAAAGCAAAAACGTTCAAAAAATTACACCTACTTAATAACTACAAAAAGACAATTCAGTATATCAATTTTAATTAGTCACTTAGATCATAAATGACAATATAAATACAAGAATAACAAATACGTTTCTTACCCCTTGAAGTGGCTAGCAAATCAACTTCCTAACTCAACATTCAAACACTAATTGCCAAAACTATCCTTTGTCCACCCTTCTGTTCATAATAACAGTTTCATTTTTCGTTTTTGTTGCTTCCACTCAGGTAGTTTTTGATTAATTAATAATTATTAATCAATGTTTAGTTTTGTTGTAATTTTTATGTTTTATTTAGTTAAAGTATCCTATACAATCTGTTTGCTATTTAGAATTCAATTAAAATGTGATTTTTACAGCTGAAAAGATAAATATACTGTATATATATATTAATTAATTATATATGTTATGTATACTTGATTGTATTTTTTAGATTCCTAATGTAAATTTGATGTTTTCATAATCCATCATATTCTTCAATTTATAATGACCAGGTTAAAATACAATATGGCCGCCGGCATGTACAGTACTAGTACCTCTAAATCAGGGGTGTCCAACCCGCAGGCCGCATGCAGCCCAAGGCAAGTTCCAATGCGGCCCAATAAACGCGTAAACAAAACCTACAAATGTTTTAATTTTTTATTATTTATTTATTTCAATGGCATAAACTCAAAAAAAGTTTCACAAAGCCGTAAACCATTATTCATATTTTATTTTTGAGTGGAAAGAAAATATTTTCAAATACTTGGAAATGTGTGAATGCGGAAGGATTACTAAATAAAGCTGGAGTCGTGGATTATAGGACTCAAAGGATTATAGACCCAAATTTGGGAAAAGGTGGGAAAGGACAAAAGATGTAGTAGTGAGAAACGTTAAATAGATCTTCTGTTCAGCAAATATGGACCCGTAATTTTTCAACCTTTTTCACTTCTTTATCTTTTGTCCTTTGCCTCTTTTTCCCCGCACTTGGGTCTATAATCCTTTGATTCACAACTCCAGCTTTATTTAGTATTTCTTCCAACGTTGCAAGATTTGGCTACATTGGGCCAAATGTGGCTACTTTTTTTTGTTTGACGTAAAAAATATCATTTGGCGCTTTGGCTACTTTTTCGGCTACATATTATTTATAATTATATTAATTGAATAAAAATGCACTTTAAAATGGTGTTTCGTCGCTTTTTATTAATTAGAGACCCAAATAAAACAAATATTTGTGTTTTTCAAATAAATTTTCTTTAGTCTCTTTTATAATAAATGAATTTATCTATTTCTAAGTAAAAATTGAAAGTGTCTGTAGAAGTAATTTTTTAAAATATCCTTTTTTCTTGATAAAGTTTTAATACTTATTATTATAATCTAGACATGTTAATTTTTAAATATACTTGTATATTGGGCCACAAGTATATATTATATATACTTGTGGCCCAAAACTCCTTGACTTCTTCCAATGCGGCCCAGAGAAACAAAAAGGTTGGACACCCCTGCTCTAAATAGTGGACAAACTTCTTTGTCTCAACAGTGTTTGTTATTTGGAGGTTATACTGTATATTGAAAATAGATGTTTACTTTGAATAGATTTTTTTTAAATGCTTGTTTATTTTTATTTTAATATGATGATTGGCACTGATAATATTGTTTTCACTTAATTTTTGTTATTTTTGTCAAAAATTTATAAACAACTTTTTATTATCATTTCTGAATGTTGAATAATTTTGATAATCTGTGTGTGTGTGTTCTACAAGGAAAATTAAATTATTTAAGCATATGTGAGTTCAAGTACAGTGGAACCTCGGTATACGCATAATGGAACCAATATGGCGACGGCCGCAATATATCATGATGTCGTGTTCAGGTATTGTGTTTATAGACCTTGTTCCAGGCAACATTGGGGACGTTATCTGTTCCGATAAAGTGTTGCCAGACAGTTTAATATACAGTAATTTTTTAGTTTTTTTTTCAAGCGTTTCAGCTGCTTCCACTTCGACCATACTGTATTGACAACCTATCGAAAAATATTTGTTTATATTTCCCTTCATTGATCTA